CTTTCCTCTCCTCATTCCATCCACAAACAAACAACCAACCATACCCGTGCTGTCCTCCACCCATCCCTCCCCATCCTTCTTTCCTGGTTGTGACCTCAGTGAGGAGGCTCAAGGCTCCCCCTTGGCGTAAGTACAGCAGTGCTCCTTTTCCATCCCGCCTCTCCTCATACATGTTTCTCCTTTTGTCTCATGATTTCATAACAGCTTGTGCGTCGCTCCATGTGTCTCATAAACTAATATCCCACTGAAAACATTTGGAAATCCTACAGAATTTGTTTCTTTATTTTGTTGTGTTCTTTTAATGTGTTTTTGGGGTGTTATTTGTCCAACCAAGGTGTTAACGGACAAACTCACTAACAACGAAGCCTTCATGGATGTGTGGAAGTACTTAGATGTACTTTGGCCGAAGTGTGAGAGTGTTTAGGGTTTTTTTTGTGGAGTCCTCCTCTAAAAAAAACAGCCAATAACATCCCAACCTCGGGGAGCTGATGGGATGTCATGGCATGGGAATGTTCTGAGTATCCAATCACAGGTTTTCAAACAAATACTGCCCGATCGGTATTAACTCACTTTTCTAACAATCATTAAAAAGAAATGCTGAAAATTGACAATCCAGTCATGTTGCTGTGTAAACTTACTGTACTCAGTATCTACTGTACACTACAGCGCCGGCACCTTCAACGTGGAACTGTGGGAAGACACATCGACAGTGTATATGAACAGTGAACAAACAGACTGTGTGTAAAGCAACACAAATGCAATTGTTGATCTTAATATAATAACTGCCCACAATAAAATAACATCTGATTCAATAAATAATTAATTACAATAAACTAAACTAGATTAATGGCATTTTAAACATTGTGGTACCTTAAAACACAATGCCCATGGACTCCCCACTAGCAAATACCACAGTGTAGAAATACAATACTACCATTAAAATGTACTTAAAGTAAATAAATATTTAATAGATTTATTTGTATAGAATATTAGTGATGAACCCTCTCTGCTTTGCATACTTTCATTTTGATTATAGATTATATATGCCTTATGTAATATAATTTCTTAAGTTGTAAATTATAAATCACATGGGCATTTAGTACATTATGATCATCTATTACATTTGGGGCTTTAAATACAGTACCGCACACTCAGAGCTCTAACATTACTCTCTGCCCTGCAGTGGAGCTCTGCCAGTCAAGGACCCTGTGGTAGACTGTGCGTCTCCGGTTTACCAGGCAGTGATCAGGCCAGGAGAGACAGCTCAGGATATGTCTGAATGGGCCCGTCGTGCTGCCAACCTGCAGTCCAAGAGCTTCAGGATCCTGGCCCACATCACCGGCACTGAATACAGTCAGTACACTGAAACCCTCCTTTCCTTATTTCTTACCTTTCTTTTGTCCTGTCTTGCATTCTTTCTTGATCTTCTTGATACTCATCTCTGCAAATCCTCACTTCTTGTTCATATTCAGTTATCACCATTAGTGAGTCCTTACTGAAACCGCTTCTTCATTTCTCTCCATGCAGTGCAAGACCCAGATGAGGAGGCCCTGGCGAAGTCGAGGTAAGATGGTAAAAAAAAGAAAGTGCGAGGACTTTAAGGGTATTTGTATGTTACTTAAAAAAATTACCTGGCTGGTCGACTGACACAAACCTTGACAGAAAAGACAAATTATTTAAGGGAATGGTTCAACATTTTGGAAAATATCCCAATTTGTATTCTTGCCAAGAGTTAGATGCGAAGATGGACACCACTCTCACATCTGTCCATTAAATATGAAGCTACAACCAGCAGAAGGTTAGCCTAGCTTAGCATAAAGCCTGCAAAGAAAAGGGAAACAGCTTGCCTGAATAACAGCTCACTAATTAACATTTCTCAAAAAACAACACGCCTGACAGCCAGAAAGTTAATGGTCATGGCCAAGAAACCGACTGGTAATTTTAGCTGCTCTGTTTTTGTACAGGTTAAACAAACAAGAAATAATGTTTTAATTATCAAGCTTTAGAGATGCTGGTTGTGTTACCTTTGGACAGAGACAGGCAAGCTGTTTCCAGTCTTTGTGCTAAGCTAAGCTTCTCAATCTTCTCGCCTAACTCAATGTTAGACTATCCCTTTAAAGTTGTGATGAAAAGTGCAAATAGTACATGATGTAACAGCCTTGTCCTGCCTTTCACACCATCAGAGAGAAGTTTGAGTCGGAGGTGAAAGGGCCCCGCTTTGCCAAGCTGAAGAACTGGCACAACGGACTGTCTGCACAGATCCTCAATGTCCAGGAATAAAGCGGGAGAGCAGGAGAGAAAGTGAGAGAGAGAGAGGACGTGTAAAGAAGGACATGGACATAAGCACAGGAGTTAACAGGAAGAGGGGGATAAATTATGGAGGAAAAATAAGGAACAGGAGGGGGAGGAAACTCCTCAGGAATGTGAGATAGCGTTGTAGTCTAGATTAGTAGAATGTGAGATACTAACTGTTAGTGTGAGAATGCTATGAGTCCATAAACTCAATATTACCTGTCAATGTATCCGTCCGCTGCTAAGACCTGATCTTGCATTTGGGTTTTTCTTTCTTTCTTTGTGTCCTGTTTGTTTGGGTTCTGTCTCTCTTACAGTATTCAAGTGAAAATGCAGAACTGATTATGTTTCTTTTAGTACATAAACCGCATTCACAAACATATGAATTTTAACACTATATAAGCATGCTTGTGAGAAGGCACAGAAGGACAAATATACACATAGAGATTAACCTACATGCACAAAATACAGTATGTAAAAAAAAAAATGCACTCAAAAAATGTACTGATATCAATGTGAATAAATGTTTTCTTAAAACCATACGACTGAGTGTACTGTTGTAAACTCACAAAGGAAATGAACGTGTCACCGCGAAGGACTCAAAAACTGGAGGAATCTCCTGTCATCACGAGTGCTGTTGGTGTGGCAGAGGGAGTGTTTTGACTTTGCAGAGACAGACATCATCAACGCTTTTGACAGAATAATATGACAGTTTTTTAGCTGGTGGCGACATGGACGGTGACACAACTGTGGTAGCAGGGCTCACAAAGCATGAGAGCTGAATATTACTGCTACTTTTGTTTAACGAGTCATATATAACATAAAAGAAAGACCTTTTATGATGAAGCATATAGTTGGACTTTGTAGCTCCGAGGGACATTTGTTTCCATTCTTAATTACTGATGAATGTAGCTCATAAAATGGATGTTAGCGACCCAACAAATATAACACCAGTATCCACCCTCATTTTAGCACTGTTTGGGGCTCCTCCAACTCACCCAGCAGGTATTTATGGTTGACTTTGGTTAGATTGAAGTAAGCTAGATGTGGTTCAGCTTTTTGGATGAAAATAGCTGCCTGCTCTGGCTGGAAATGACGCTAATGAGACCAAAGCAGTAAAGTCGCAGGCTGGAAAACCAAAACAATGAGCTGATATATAGATGCTCTGTAGGGCTGAGGCGAACTGCACAGTCAGGTTCATGTGGGTTAATCACTACGGGCAACCTCTTTCACATTACACATAGTCATTTGGTCCTCTGTTGATCAGTGCAGCTTTATAGGAGCGGCAGGATTGCAACTCCCTCGTTTCACCCTCGCCTTCCAAGCCCAAAGGGAAAACTACGGTGACCGCAAAACATGTGAGAAACGGCCTGATCTATAGCCAGAGTTTGGTTTATCTGTTCTTAGCTACTGTAGAAACATGGCAGTTCAACATGGCGGCCTCCAAGTGAGACGACCTGCTGCATCTGGATATAAATGACTCATTCTAAGGTAACTAAAAACCCAACGACTCTTATTTTCAGGTGATTATACATTATTGAAACTGAACCTATGAATATTATACTCCATGTCTGACAACAGATCCTCCTTAATGTTACACAAGGGACCTTTAAGTTAGAAAAATTAGACCTGAGCAGTAGGTGTTTGCTGTGACATTTTACTGACTTGAGACTTAAAAGCAAAACCATTTAAGCATTGAAAGGACTTTATCTCAAGAAAATACAGCTTCAAATGTTTAAATGCTGTGTCATTTTACTGGTCAGCCATCTGTCAGCCATAATGCTGTGTCATTATGTCATATGTGGTAAAACCACCAGAGGGCAGTCGGAATCTGTACAGCCAGATTGAAAAGAAGAGACATCCCAAATATCACTTTGCTCCTTAAATGATTCCTTTAAACCAAATGCCAAAGATATAGTTGCAGCAGCTTATTTTGATCTGCATTCCTAATTATTTCTCTGTGCCTGCCTCCTTTTCGGTTAGAAAATGAATAAAAAAAATAAATAAAAAAATGTAGCTGTTATCATATCAAAACTATCCACAGAATTGCTGTCATGCTGAGTCGGCATGCCTGGGAGAAATGGGATGATGGGGAGGAGGAGGAGGGAGGAGGGGGAGGGAGGGGCAGTTGTGACTCATTCAGGTGGAGATGACAAAGCATTTTCTCTCCTCTCGCAACAATAAAAGTAGTTGCAGGTGCTGTCTTTTTCTTTCTAAATTCAATTAAATTGAGTGAGGCTTTACTGGCATGACATCTACATCAAAAAGCATAATACATAAACAGAGAGATGCGTAAAACAAATACATGCAAAATAATGATATGCAGTACATAAACGACTGGTTACTTAAAGTGAGAAATGCTCAAAATCAGACAAAGGAAGCAGGAATTGCATCTTTGGGAGAATCTGTGTGATGTGATTGCATGATAAAATCTCAGAAGGCATGTGACAAAAAAAAAATCCTCTTCGCTTCCCATGTTGAATCTCTGCTGGTTATGTAACAGTGCTCACAAGCTCAGCATCTAGAAAGGTGTGTCCAGAGCAACGTGCCAATCAAAATATGCAAACTGCACACCATGAGTGAGAACCATCAGGAGAAAGATGGATGATGGGTGGAGGGGCGGTTGAGGCGCGGAGTTGCAGCATGACTTGAAAATGCTGCAGCATCCGGTCGTCTCTCCTCCTCCTCCTCTTCTCTTCATCTCGTGCATACCGACTGTTTCCTCCCCCCTCTCTCTCAGTCTGCGTGCTGTAGCCCTGCTGTGCGGTCCTCTCAGTCCTCTGTTGTAGCACCGAAGGGAGGAGGAGCCACCGGCACACACACACACACACACACACACACGCACACACACACACACACACACACACACTCACACACTCAGACACACACACTCTGACATCTCACATCATCTCTTCTGCACACTCGCTGTAAGCACCAACCAGCCAGCCAGCAAGCAAGCCAGGCCAGTTTGGAGCAGGGGAGCCCAGCCGTCTCGTCGCCCAAAATGGATGTACTGATGAAGGGGTTCTCCATGGCCAAGGAGGGGGTGGTGGCCGCTGCAGAGAAGACCAAAGCCGGTATGGAGGAGGCAGCAGCCAAGACCAAGGAAGGGGTGATGTATGTAGGTACGTACATATAGCCTTGTCTGTGGAGCTGGAATAGCAGACAAAAAGGTATTTTTGGGGGCGAGGCACTCATTATTCTGTGTGCGTGTGTGTTTTTGCGCCGTCTGAGGTGGGGTCCCATGAGTGCCCATGTCTGGGACACTTGTGTGAAGTGACAGGGACAGAGAGGAGGAGGAGAAGGAGGAAGAAGAGATAAAGGAAGAAAGGAGGGGATGGAGTGAGCGCTGGAGGGATACTGCTGCAGGACTGGTGCAGGGCAGAGGGTGGGGGTCTGAAAGATAGATGGAGTGAGAAGGGAGGGTTAGATGGGGAAAAAGATGGAAGTTGTAACTGGGTAGCAGGACAGTAACTGGTGGAAGCCTGGTCTGTCTTGGGAAAAAAAATAGGTGGAAGAGAAAGAGGAGAAGAGGAAAGGTGGATTCTGCAGGATCTTGACATGGCGCCGCCTCAGTCTTTTATCACCTGTCCTATTTTATTCACATTCAATGGTTTGTGGAGCTGTTTGCAGAGGGATGTACAGTGATGGATCCAATGCAGCCCCAGAGACTCCCCAAAGACTCCATATATCTGCTTTTATTCATTTACAGAAAAGAATTGACCTATATGGAATATGCCGCCATAAGTTTTCTGAAGTATATTCAAAAAATATCTTAAGATTAAAGTACACTCACAATAAATATCGACGCATGTAAGGACAGACCACTTGAAATAGCAATTTTAAAGATTCTTCAGATGCTTTATGGTCACGCTGTTTTTTCCTGTACTTTTATATTAGCTCAAGCAGCTAATGCGTCACATCTCAAGGTTACCCCGAGAACCAGGCTTTTAGGCCGCCTGAGAGGGGAAGGGGGTGGGGGGTTGTAAAAGTAGGGGGTGGGTGAGGAGTTAGCGGAGTGGAAGTCTCTGTCGTCATCTGCAGTCCGTCCCTTCTTCGCTCTAACTAACCGTCACACAGCAGCTTCAAAATCTTGATTCTAACGTCTAAATTGAGAATATAAAATAAATATGCGTGCAAGAGGCAATGTCACTAGCTGAAAGAGTGAGGAGGGAGGGGGGAGGGAGGGAGGTGAGGTAGATGGGGCAAGGATCACTTGAGCACTGCAGCAATTTGCTCTCCCATCAACCCCCCCACTCCACTCCACCCTCACCCCATCCTTGTGTTGATGCAAGAACGTGTGTGCGTTTGTGGCGTTGCAGCAGCAGGATTTGCCTGCCAGTGTGTGCTGCTTTGATGACTAACCACCTTCCTCCCCCACAGCTCTTAAGACAAACCCCCCCACCCCACCACTACTACCCATCCCTGGGAAAGATGGAAGGATGGGGGGATGCACGGGGAGAGACAGAGAGAGGAAAAAAGCGAGAGAGAAGGGAGGGGTGTTATGTCAGAAAAAAGCTTTGAGCTTCTAGTCTCGTGGCTCCTGTATGAACAGATGGAGTGACAGAGAGAGAGAGAGAGAGAGAGAGAGAGAGAGAGAGAGTTGACATGTAGTGGTGAAAGGTGGATGAATGGAGGTGGAGTGATGAGAGTCAGGTAAAGGAGGGGGGTAAGAGTGAACTGAGAGACTGAGAGAAAGGTAAGAGGGGGAAAAAGAAAATGGACATGCGGATCACAGGAGGAACAGAAGAGAGGGACGTGATCACTGAAGTGAAGGGGGTCGATGAATCCGATAAAACACTGTATCTGCCTGCAGCAGAGTGCATACGTCAGCATGTGAATGTGGGTACACAGTATCGACGTCTCACTCACATACAGGCCAAACCTGGACAGGCAGCGGGACGTGCTCTGTGATTAAATCAAAAAATCGCATGAGTCACTGAACACAAGCTGCCACAAAATAGCTCCAAAAAAAAACTTCTTCAGTTCTTTTTTCCTGTTTTATTGCAGTTCAGTTTTATGTTGTTTTTATATATGGATTTATTTAATGGGTATTTATATCCTGGGGGAGATTCTGGCAATCACAGTTGGTTGATTAACATGGGAGCACTGCAGTTTTCATGTATCAATAAATTAACCCTTGAACCTGCCTAAAGTCAGATTCTCAATTTCAGAATATGCTAGAAAAAAAAAGTACTGATTTAGTACATTGATATTAAAATATGGCTTTACAGATTTTTTCCAGAAAAGGATTAGTAGCCCTGCTATTTAATGAAAAATCTCTATAAGCAGCTCCATGTATTTCATCTGGTCCTGTAATTGCCTTTCCATCCCTCACTAATTGTAAATTATGTAGTTTTTTTTAATCATTCTGAGTTCATAGGAGAGGTCTTTGTAGAAACCTTCAGTGGTACGTCTCCTGCCTACATTATTGCCAACACATAGAAAATATCACCATAGGATTTTCCATTAAATGCAGGACATATCTGAGATTTCATCTCATCAGGACTGCTAAAGCACAAATCCGACTAAAACCATATTTTTGCACATTTAATGCATTATTTCATAATAGGAGAAAGCATTCACACTCTAATCCATGCAATCTTCATTTATTGAGGCAAGCTTTCGATCAGGATTATCATTTATTGTCAGGATTATTTCAGAAATTGCTTCCCCGCTCTGCGTGTCCTGTGCATCACCTGGAATTGCATCTGCTTATACCTGAACCTTGTTTAATAATTTACATCAAAAAGGAAGTCAAAAGTTCCATCAGAAGAAGAAAAAGAAAAGGTTTTTATAGATGCAGTTTGTTCTCTATGATGGTAACAGACAGATCACCAGAGGCTCACATACAGATATTCACAGTGACAATAAGTGGCTCCCTCTGCTGACAGGGAGAAAGAAGCTGTGTCATTGCAGTGTGTGTGTATGTGTGTGTGAGAGTGTGTTTTGGGCTGTACTGCAGTACTGCTCAGTACTCAGGCACGTGGCTCATGTAGCACAGGGAGCGTGCAGAGAGATGGAGGGAAGCAGGAGACAGAAAGAGGATGGGTGGATGCAGGATGGCAGCTTCTGCATCTGTGTGAATGTACAAAGAGAGAACAGTCAGGGTGCACAAACGCCTGTTATTCTGCACATTTATTATCCCTTTCCTTACATACCCTTCTCCCATTGTTCCCTATCATCTAGCAGATATTTCTCTCCTTCTATCCCCTTACTCTGGCAGATTATATAACCACAATTTAATCTGCTCTGGATCATACTATAATGAGCACAGTGCTGGTGAGCAGGGAAATGCAGAGAGGGGCTGCCGTTCACAGGATGTTTTCTATAAAATGTTTCTAAAAACACAGCTGAGCTTTATGAAGCTTTTAAAAAACAAACATTGAGGTGCAACGTTGAAAAGGAACGGCAATAGAAAACAATCCAAGCACACAAAAAAGGGGCCAGGTTCACGTTTAAACAGACATCACTCAGAAATAGAAATAGCTCTTTAAATGTATTTTTAGAAAGAGCAATGGATACTGCTGATCCAACACTCTCAGGAAGAATATGTCAGTGTCCACAGCAGATATTAAAAAGGAAGGATACATATGTGTTATCACTAAAACTGTTTCTCTGTGTTGCAATTAAAATGTAAAAAATGTATATCTAAAAATGTGTTTATCAAAGTAAAAGTAAATAAATGAAAATGTCAAACAAGATCTGTTAATGACATTAGCAACATCATCTTATTACATTCAGGTAATAACTGCTACTTCTACGGGGTGGTGTTTGTAATGTTTAGCAATATTATTATGACAAGATTATTCTCTTCTCATTACCACATCAGGAATTAATAGCCTACATTTATTTAATCAGCAGTAAGGTGTAAGGGTCACAGTTTGATTTATTGATGAATTAGTATAGTGGAAATATCATGCTCACATCCTAATCATCCCTCACAGATTAAAAGGCAAAAAATAAAAACTTACAAAATCCAAAACAAATCAAGAAAAATGTAAGCAAACTAAAATAATGGAAATGTGCAACAACAGTCTATTCAGCAAAATCTATTTTAAACATGGGAATTGCAATTTTACTGTTAAAGGTTCAGTAGATATCTTTTATGAAGATAATATGGCACATTTGCTTAAACTATCCTGACAGTTGTGGGTTTGGAGGGAGGGGTGTTACAAGCAGCAGAGAGAGACGCAGAAGAATTCACCTGCCACTAGATGTCGCACTAGAGCACCAGCATCTCAAACCAAAACAAATAGACGCTACAGGCGACCAGAAAACATACTCAAAACCGGACAGGAACAAAATGAAACTCACCAAAACTATCTTTGTTAGTCTTACCACAGTCTTTCCAACAATCGGCAACACCAGTTCAGTTGAACCCCTGATTCTCCGAGTTAGATGTGAAAATATTCGCAAAATGCGCTGCAATGGTGGCAACGTAGCAAATCCTTGGGGACAAATGCGTCCGTCAAAGTACGGCCACTAACAGTGGTTGTTTTTGCCACAGACAGGCTCAGATTGTTATTCTAACTGACTTACAACATTATGGATAGACCTTTTGTTTAACCAGAAACAGCTGGGATTTTGTGATCGCTCACAACCAGACTCCAAAGACAAAAACGGTAATTTTACGTCAATCGATCATCACGACACTGTAACTTCATTCAAACTGGATAAAAACAAAATAAATACACCAAGACTTCTCTTTCCACTGTTCCAACAATCACCAACTTTGGTTTGTTCTAAATAAATCCTTAATTCAGAGAGAAAAACAGCAGTTTCAGTAAGGGACACACATGCCCTAACATACATGACATTGTGCAGCCCTCCAACATGGGGAGAGAGAGTGTGACATCTGCCCAGGACACCATTACTCCACTATATTTTTACATAGCAAATAGTTGTTTGCTGCTATATTAATGTTCTAAATCTCGTGTATCACCTTTAAAGTAGAAAACATCAGTTACATGCATGAATTTGATTATAATCTCTGTTTAATCCCCAGGAAATAAGACAAAGGAGGGAGTTGTGTCATCAGTAAACACAGGTAAGAAAAGCTTTCTGCTAGCCTCACTTGTGACCTCGGCGGTCCAGTCACATAAACTTCTTAAAGCTGCAGTAGGTAACTTTTTCCTATTTGCTTAAACTTTCATTATATCCTGACAGTAGTACATGAGACAGATAATCTGTAAAAAAAAATCACGTTCCTCTGGCTCGTCCATGTGCCCCTGATTGCACAAGAAACTATCCGAATAAAAACAACCAATCAGAGCCTAGAAAGATAGCTGATTGTTGAGTCCCATTCCCAGGGTCCCAAATTTGATGCCCGGGAATGAGACTCAACAATCAGCTATCTTTCAAACCTCTAACCCAAAGCGTGTTTATACATCTCTGACCTCTGATTGGTTATTCAGGCTTGGTGGATTCTTGCAAATACCATGAGGAGGACTGGAACGAGCCAGAGGAACCTCGTTTTTTACTTATGTACTACTGTCAGTATATAGTGAACATTTCAACAAATATATATATAAAAAATAATTATACAAATAAAACTTTATTTTCATAAAAGTTACCTACTGCAGCTTTAACAAACATTAATACAATACAAACGTTATGTTTTCCAGCAGTAATTTGCATCTTCAGCACAGGTATTTACTGTCTGCCCAGGATGAGAACATCATTACATTTAGTGTAGTAAAGCCTTTCCATTGAGCCAACATGCACAATAGCAGACCCTCAGATTAAGATAAGATAAGACAGACTTTATTGATCCCACACTGGGGAAATTCACTTGCTATAGCAGCTCCAGATATAACATAGCAGATAAGAAGAAAAAAGAAATACACAATATATAACAAAATAAAATAAAAAATACAAGATATCAAGAAAAAAACAAATTTATGAAAATATATAGACTATATGCAGTATGCATACTGACCTGTTTTACCTGAATGGAGCAGACCCTCAGTTAGTATCATTGGTAACACCTGAGTTTACCCTACTATTTCACGTCAAAATGGCTGCTGTGTCTGGAGCAGAGGTCACAAATAGGACAACATGTGCATGTCGTCGAACCACTTTTGAGTGTGAGATTCAGTTTCACTAACCGTCCCTCCACTGTGCCTCTCAGTGGCCAACAGGACCGTGGATCAGGCCAACATCGTGGGAGACGCAGCGGCCGCCGGGGCCAACGAAGTGTCACAGGGAAACGTGGAGGGGGTCGAGAACGTCGCCGCGTCGACCGGGATGGTCAGCCAGGTTAGTTACCAAGGAAACGTGGGTAACAGACAGCTTATGAACATAATTAATTTTTTCATGCACTAGTCAATTAAATTAATGAAGATAATTCTTCATTTGCATATTTCAACACTACATTTCTAATATATATAAAGTACGTAAATTAATAAGCCATAGTGTAAGTAATTAACTGGGAAAGTTTAATGGTGAAATAGTTAAAATGTTATCCATATTCTTATTGTGTCACATTTTAAAATGCATATCTTTAAAGGCTGTTATTTTAAAATTATTTTTTTTCTTATACGCCAGAAATCTGCACTTCAATAGCACTTTAATACACCAACCATTTCAAGTCTTATCTATATTCTGAAGGTTTTTACAGAGGAGTTTGTTCATTGTTCATCAAACATGATTTTTAACATCTTAGTTGTAAAAACAGGGTGCAAACTGGTGTTTTTTTTTAATGGAGTGATAAAAACAAGAATTTTTAACTAGGCTTTATCCAAAGTTCAGAAATCTATGGAAATTAGTGCATATTTAATTAGACAATATCTCACATACACATTTAAACATAACATTTCATAAGACCTACGTATACAAAAAACACGTGTCTTAATGTAAGTAATAGACTGGGGCAGTTTCATAGTCATAGATAGCTAGGTGAAATTTTTACCCTATTCACCTGTAGTGGGTGGCCTTAAGGTCTGCCACTAGGTCGAGCTCTTTCCTTTCTTAAACACAGGGAGCTGCAGTTTATTCCTTTAACAAAATGCTAAATCAAAGCAATGCTAAAACTTATATGAATCCTTAGATGACTCGTTATTTATTAGACCCACAACCAATGACTATTTTCATGATCTCTTTTTATTTTATTTTATTAAATTATCATATAATCTACAAACTCTATTAAACAGTGACAAAATGTTGATCTTAATTTCCCAGAACCCAAGGAGACGTCTTCAGATTGCTTGTTTTCTCTAAGCAACAGTCCAAAAGAGAAAATCTGCAAATACTTACACAAATGTTTGAAGCTGGCATTTATACTTGATAAATGACTTCGATGTTCAGGATATTGATCTTTCAGAGTTTTGTGGAGGAAAAACAAAAGCATAAAACAAGTAAACTATTTTTAGACAGTTCCCAGATTTGTCCTAGTTTGGCATTTCCTTGTTATTTATCGGCCAACCTATTAAACAATAATATATGTGTGCAATATGTTTTATCAGCCACTGTATTGGCTTGCCTGATTTATCAGTCCAGTGATGATCAACACTGTTTATATTGATTTATCGGTTAATAATAATCGGAGCTAAAAGGAGCAACGTGAACATGAAGATGTAAACCATTATGTATTTGCACTAATATTAGTAACCAAAATATTCTACATCCATTAAAACTAAAATACTCTGCACAGTAACAGTACAGTTATTGAAACATTTTTATTGAAATATTTGTTTAAATCTGTGACACTGATGGCCCTCCTTCTGTTCTTATCTTTTGAATGCTGTTGTTGTGTGTTTGTCAGACATTAGATGGCTTTACATCTAACTTTTGTGTCTTCCATATCTTGCATGTCTTTCTAATGGGTCGCTTCTTTTGTTAGAATACTGTGGCAAAGCTTCTGTCTTGTGTGTTGCTGTTGTTCTCACCTTTTGTTGTTTATGTTGTTTGTGTCTCATCTGTGTTTTCCTGATAGGAGGAGCCTGTATACGAGGTGCCTGTTGAACAGGGCAGTTTGTGGGTCATAGGTCATGCTGGGGTGAAGGAGATATAGAGAGGGGATACTCTGCATGCTACATGCACAAAGTTATCAGTTTATTAGCTACACCTGTAAAATCTAATCCAATAAACCTGCAATAAATCAGACTTTTCCTGTAGAATGATCATGTTTTAAGTTTGGATTTTTTGCAGGACTCTTGCATTGGATTACATTAAATGGCACAAGTGTACCTAATAAACTGGTAACTCAGTGTATATTAGCTAATAGCCCACTAAGTGAGCGTCAAGAGGGGAAAGAAGAAACAGAAGCTGCTGTGATGCTTCCAAAATTAAAGTGGACCAAGTCCTGCAGCATTTGGGGCTAAATGGACCGTGTAACAGCATGAACACACATGGCGTCTTCCTACTTTACATCCCTACTCTGAATATTGCAAACATATTTCCTCTGACCTCTCAGACGCTCACTCATTTGTGTGGTTTAGGCAACAGTGATACTAAAATTCTCCATTTCTAACCATGTAGCTCCTCCGTGTAGAATTAAGTGGCATATAAGCTCCGAGCTACATCTCCAGCACGTCAGATTAAAAAAAGTGAACATATTCATGGCATGCACCAAAATAGCAGCACGCACTGCTCAGGCTGAACAAGGCCTGTTCACATGGAGCTCCTTACATGCTGTAAAGCTCTAATCTAACTAACTGAGCCCCCTGGGAATATCTTAAGCATGATAATAAGAGTTGAGTCGACCCAGCAGCATGGTCTTTGTAGTCTTAACTGCTTTATTATATCAGTGCTGGAGGAAAACGAAAGCTAGACGGCCATTGGTGCTTGAGGCCCTCCACCCTGCCATCACTTCACCCTTTCATCCCCTCAGACAAATCTACTCCACATCCTTTTTTGTGTCTAATTTATTCTCACTCTTCTTGTTTCCTCCTGCAGGGCGAATATGGAGGAATGGAGCAGGGTGGGGAAGGAGGAGAGGTAAGAAACAGGTTCAAGTGCTGTCTGGGATGAAAGCTTTAACATAATGGAAAGTACTTTCAGTTGCAATATTAAAATATATTTTACTGCCAATATTTTTCTTTACCCTTGGCTTGCTGAAGCTCCTCTTGAGCAAAGCCAAAGCCAAAACATCTCAATTTCCCCTTAGTGGCTGACCATAGTATAGGTCATAGCCCACTGCCTCCATGCTAGCTGATGGGACATGGGCCAAATTAAAAGATCAAAGTACACGTCAAATACATTTTCCCTGAAGATGGTTTCTGGCATTAGAGATGCTTAACCTGCTGATGTATGTTCAAGTGTTCGTTTTTCTGATAAGTTCGGTTTTAATTAGTTATTTGAAGCTATAAAAAGGGGGTTTCATGTCATGATTGACAACTGAGCTTGACTCGCGATTGAGTCGTCAGGGCGTATGGGCGGGACTTCAATACCGTGACGCCAACTCCAGTAACTACCTGCAGACTCTGTCTCCAAATGGTTAAAGATGGCGGCGGGGTATCTGCTATATTTTGCCTTCACTTTTGTATGCTTTTTTTTTTTTAGAGGTCATAAACCAAAAAGGTTCGGAGCCACTGGTTTAATCCATCACAATATTTTGTAGGCTTATCATATATTTTAATGTAAAATCTCAATCTGAAATTTAGCCATTAACTACAGCTGTTGTAAATGTAGTGGAGTAAACAAATCTTATTCCCTCTGAATTGTAATGGAGTATAAAGTAGCATAAAATGGAAATACTGAAGTAAAGTATCCCAAAATTGTACTTAAGTGCAGTACTTGAGTAAATATATTTAGTTCCTTTCAACCACTGCTTATGACCAGTACACTGATCTTGATGTGTATTGTGCCCCTTTAACTTGTAATGGGCTATTTTTTATTACATTGTGATATTGCTATTTTGACTCAAGTGAAGGATCTAAATACTTGTTCCACCACTGATGTGTTTCTATCTTTGCTTCCTTCTTTTCTACCAGGGGTATTAGTCGTCTTCAGGACCTCCCCTCCCGTGCTCTCCGGCAGCCCCTCGCTCTCCTCGCCTCGCTGTACCAGACTCCAGATGTTCAACATATTTTTTTGTGACTTTACAGAACCAAAATCAACTAAAACAGACTCTTCCGGATGCCGCACCTCAGCCCCTATCTCCACCTCTGCCTCGTCACTCCGTGATGCCCCCCCCCCCCCACCCCCCACTCCCAGCAGCCACCTGTCCTCACCCCTTGCCCTCTGACCTTCTGCAGCCTGTAGCTTTTCCTCCACTGCCGCCTTACCCTCGCCTCACCTGTGTGTTAGTGTCGTCCTGATATGAACCCTGGTGTTACCGCCCCTACGCCTACCAACCTATAGGGAAACCTCACACACAAACACACACGTACACACAAACAAAAAAAGAATTACACCTTCATTCAACACATGCATGAAACGCACACATACAGTACATACAGTCAATGCCAGCACAGACGCACACACTGGGCAAACATGTCAATTTTGGGTGTGTAAATACAGTCAAGCCTCTGTAGTCCACAACAATAACAATAACTCACTGCGTGACTGAGGCAGGGTATGAGAGGGTGTGTGATCTGCTGTTTGTGTGCCTGTGGTAGCTTATATATTATGTGCGTGTGTGCATGTGTAGCTGCTGGTGTATAAATAAATCTCCAGAGGCTTGTGCAGGGAATCGTGCATTAACAAGGACAGATATTCTGTTAAGTGTGCAGTAGTTAGTTAGCTACAATAGACTGCATGAACAGATGTGTAGAATGACCTGTCTCGTGTTGTAACTGTAGAGTAGCGGCTGTTCTGTGTAGCTTTGTGTGGCTTAGTGTGTGTTTCGCCTCGACATTTAGAAACAGGGTCATTAACCAGGAAGCAATACACAATGCTCAATTTTTCTCAGCTGTTAGAGCGGAAACTTGAATTGTCTTCGTGTGATGCAGGGAATTTCAAAGAATTTCTCCATAATGTTAAATGTTTGTGGCTAAATAAGCAAAATGTGAGCTTATAGTGAGTTTAACAGTCAATAACTGCAATTTAGATTTGATTGCACGCAACCAGATTTTGATTCATACATCCTGATTGGTTCATGGAAGTCCCTGGCATCTCCTTTTTCCAACACAACCCACTTTTCAAATTAGCACCAAGAGCACAAACAAAAATTAATGTGTCATGTTAAATAACCAGTGTTGCTCGAACCTTGGCAGAAAATAATGTGTTGATGTATGGCGGGGCGCGATCACTTACAGCGTCTTCAACTGGTGACTATCAGTAGAACTCATCAGGCTGAATTTCTGGGGAAATGTGCATAAAAAGCTGCACAGCACATTTAGAATACTTCTTGGGTTTGAATATTTCTCAATTAAGACTTCAAACAATCTAGTACAGAATATGTCAGTCACAAGGGAATAAGACACTTGTTTTTAGTTTTAAAGATACTAATCAAAAGGGAAAATTGGGTCAAAGAGATTTAAAATAAAATAAATTCAAGGAGGAAATATGACCAGCTGATAATAATCACCTCTTGTTGTCGTGTAGTTGCTTTTTAATATTTGTGAAACTGGTTTGCATGCCATCGGGACCAAGTTATTCAGATTTCTGTGATGAAAAACACTGCTTTAGTGAGGGAATCAGTCCGCTAAGAGAGCAGAATGAAAGTGTGGGTTTTATCATGTATGAGCTTTATGTGTAGTTCTGTGTATAGCTTGAATTCTGGGATACGTAGTTGTTTGTTAGGGTAGTTTTTATTTCACACTAACTAGTCTGAACCCTGGCTGTTCTGAAGCTCCTGCCCATAAACTGTCTAGGCCAATCAGAGGACCCCCTTCTCCTCTGAGTCAATATGATGCCACTTTTCACTGCTCGTCTGCCCAGCATCAGTGTGTGTGTCTGTATGCACTGTACGTGTGCGTCTATATATGTGTGTGTTAACATAGAACCGGTTCAGCCAGCAAAGTGTGCGTGTGTGTGTTTGTGTCTGGAGCAGGTTTGTGTGTTTTTACTTTGAGGCCAATGGAAACTGATGACTGCATGTTGCCTTATCAAGCAATCTGATGTTCACACCCACACACACACACTCACACACACACTACACACTACACCACACTAGAACCAACACACACACATGCACACAGCACACTCTAAACAACACACAATCACAAATCCAACCTCACATACACAAACACAAATCGCACACCATGTTTAAGTTGGCATCAAAGCAGACTCGCTGATTTTATAAACAGTACCAGTGGAATTAAAAAGGTTTTGTTGAAATCCAACAACTGTGTCACAAATTTATTTGAATATGTGGAACTGGGTGTTGAGTGAATGGGTTTGCCAACAGTCAGAACATTTTGATCTCCCAGTCAGGGCCAGATGAACCCACTGAGGAGACACCGGGCTGCGCGTAAAGTCCGCAGATGGAGCTGGGAGGTGCTTAGCTTAGCTTAGCAAAGTTAGTCTTGGTAGTTTCATCTGTACAACAACAGGAATGTAGGAATGATGGTTTTAGATGGAATGTCTTGCCGAACCAGTTTATCCACCCATTCAGTACTTCTGTGCAGCATTTCTGGTGGTTGCCTCGCAGTGATGACAAGAATCTGGGAATACAGTGATCTTAGCACAAATAAATAGTTAGGGCACTTCCAGAATCCAACTCCCACTTACGTGCGGAGGAAAAACTACAGTGGACAAACGAGAAAAAAACGTGAACGGCCGCCGGCCGATATTATCCAGTTTTTTTCTTCTTCCCTAGCCAGTGTTAATGCTAAACTAATCTAATCACCTCCTGGCTCAGGTTTACCAGAATATGCAGCTTTTCAGCAAAATATCAGCTGAAATATTAAGGTAGGATTTTAATGCAAGGATCCAAAGAGAACAAAGTTTCTGGATTAGGTAAAGACATTGGAGGCACCTTCAGGCTCTTATGATGTCAGTTTATGCTTTACCAATCAAATTGACAATTGATTTAATACAACACATCACACAGCGAACATAGGGCCTTGAGGTATCTGAGACTTTGCCCTGTTGGTGATGCAGCAGATCTGAAGGGTTCATCAGATACATCAGTGGAAAAGACAGATTTTCTAATGTGTTTACCAGAAGATCATTCTGACTATAAAACCGGGACTTTGTTCTTTCTAATATCAGTTTTCAATGGAGGAGCCATTTTCACAAATAAATCTCAAGGGCAGACTTCACTTATCATACATGCGTTCCACACATCTGCTTTCAGAGAGGCTGAGTTAATATACAGATCTGTAATAAAACTTTATGTAACTGGAATCCAGCTAATTTGGTTGCATATCAATCCATGTATGACGTAACTGTGAATGAAAATTTCTTAACTTATCTTTTAAGAAGTATGAACTAATAACATATTGACTTGATCATTTGTAAATGGTTCACGATACATAATTCATGCATTCAATCATCACGAGTCATGCATTAGTTAAGTATATGATGTAACCCCTTATTAAGAAACTGAGTAAGTGTAATTCACAGAAAATCAAACAATCTTTTAATCTTGTTTTCATCACTCATTTTCTCATTACCCACCACACCTGTGTGTGTTTCTGTAGGATTCCCTCTTCCAGGCCTCATCAAGAAGGGATGTTTCATTCAGAAGCACACTGAATTCCTTCCACAGTTCATATACATATTGTGACAGAATAGTATGAAGATAAAACTGATGCGACACACTGCAGTATCTTTTTCTGAACATTTTATTGGTTTCCAAAAAATGCATAAAATAAAAATAAAAATTTCCTCCTAAACAATTTCAATGTAGAGGAACTGGACGCTTGAAACTGAGGAAAATTCAACCAGGGGACGGGCAGTCACAGTGACACCTTGCCCCCTCCTCCCAGCTCCTCTTTCTTGGCCAGCGGAGGAGGCGGGAAGAAGCTGCTTCTTTTAATATACGAGATAAAGCGACAGGAAAGGAAGGAAAAAGGAGGGGGCGAGGAGTGGGAGAGCATCCATCAATTCTTGGACAGAAAAACATCTATGAAATAAAAAAAAAAAATCCTGTTGGGAATCCTAAACCTTGGCAATTTCACTACTAACCTTTACACCTTAAGAGTGAGAAGACAAAGTCAAGAGTAATAAAATTACTATTATCTTTTATTCACATGAAGTTAAATCTAAATCCCTTTTATTTAAAGTTAAATTGAAGTGGCCGTCTCCCTTTTAGAGCACACCTCTTTCTGAAATAAGGCATCTGTAGTGCTGTCAACTGAAACAACCGCAACACGAGGGTCGCACTTGCATTCAGTGATCGCAAAAAATGGCGCTTTTAACATGGCTGCCATACAACAATATCATGAACGTTTATATGAGGGCTGCAGGAGGGACATGATCTTTTTCATTCTGTCAGGATGTTACGCTCAGTCTGCTTTTTCTCAATATAACCCCAGGCAAAAGCAAGAAGAGGGCAATATTTAAACAGAGAAGCAAACACAGTATAATGGCAGCACAAAGATCACAGGATAAATACCAGGCTAGCCAATGTCTCGCTGTATGTGTGCGTGTGTGTAAAAGAGCCAAAGAGCAGCGGTAAACAGTGATATGTTCTGAAGGCTGTTTAGAGGGTGAAAGAAGGCAGGAGAGGGTGATCAACAGCAGGAAGGTTAGGGGAGGGGGAGGAAGTATGGACCGCAATTGGCCATTTATGTGAAGGTAAGACCAGCCTCATTGTAGACTTTGAAGACCTTCTCGATGGCGTTGACGTAGGCGGCTGTCCGGAGGTCCAGACCCAGGTTGTACTTGCTTGCTGTGCGCATGATTTGCTAGAAAAGGCAGAAGAGAGAACGTTGTACCACCTCTGTAGGACTCATGACCACAAGAGTAGAGCAGGAGTTGGCGAAATTGGAATAAGTTATCTTTGAATATTAAAATAAGTAAGTAAATTTAAAAAACTAAGTCAAATGAATGCAATTTAATACCAGCCGAGACAATTAGTCCATCAATTTCTTTTTAACATTTATATCACATTTTTGTCACTACTTCCCATTATTCATCAGTGAGCATGACCTGAGCACAGATAAGTGAAGAAAATCTAAATATTAACCAATTAAAAATAATTAATTTCATTCAAGTTTTTGACAAAATTGATACAAGATGCCGCTGTAGCTAGCAGTAGAAAGTAGCAAAAAGGATTTAACAGCTTCCTTTTTATTGGATTATTTTATTGGTCTAAAGCAAGATGGGGCTCATGACAGAAAACATCTGGGAACCACTGCACTGCGCTAATATTTCCAGATTTCTGAAGTGCAAGTCGTATGTTTCATGCCAGTTTACAAGGCTACATAATATGGTGCCTATTGACTAAAACAGGTTGGACTGTGTTATGTCCCAGCAATCACTTACCCGGGCAGATCTCTCCATGGTGTAGGCCAACCCAGAGTGGACAATATCCTTCTCAGAGGCACCCTGCAAGGAGGATGAAGGTTGAGCTCAAGTAAGAGGGAACCCTCAACAACAGTGTGTATCCAAGGAAGACATGTTTATCACTTAGTCAATCAACAGAAAATGTATCATTATAACAATAACAAACAATAGCTTGGTTGCATGCTTTTTACCTTTGAGAATTCAGTGCCTTTTCCTTTTTCATATTAAGGTAATAATTTGACTTATTTTAAAGACACAACTTGGCTCTGCTAACTTATGATGGGCATTTGTCATTTTACTTGACAGCACATTGGCATCTATAATGGAAATATTAGTTACAGGGCTGATATGACGGTTTCCTGAATGGTTGTGTGTACAAATGTGGGTGAGCCCTTGGCAGTGCTCACTGCATCAGGACATCTGTCAATCAAGGTGATTCAGTTGCATATTTTTCACTTGAGAGTTCAGAACACTCCTACTCCCTTTGTGTGGCATACTAGAGGAATGTATTTCAATGCAAACAATTGTTTTAAAATACGAATCAAGTATTTCAAGTTCAAGGATTAGGTGTTGTGCTCCTTTTGAGTGTAGAGCACACTGAAATAATAGTGAAAGCAAAACAATAAGCTCTTTTATCCTCTCAACAAGCTGATAATATAGAAAAGTGTTTTACTTTACTTACTGTGAGAATTGTGTTGATGCTACATGTGTTTTATTTATACAGTAAACAAAAATCTACTAACTTAATCTACTAATGTATGTTGTATATTGATAGTAGCAAAAATAATAAATTAACTGAAGACGATATTGCAAAACAATTATTAACACTAAAAATTAAGTCAACCAAACTACAGTATTCTCTTTAGTATTGTTTTGGGTACGGGCTGCAGTATGGCATGAATGGGAAGTGTTGAGGGCAGCAAGCACATTGTGACTACGGTGAGCCAGGAGGGGTCACACACAGTCAGTGCGCATTTCTTAAAACATGATAAACTTTGTTACACAGTAGTGATTGAGTTTGTAACATTGTCTAAGGTTGTAGTGCTTCAATTTTTATTATTTTCAGTACGTTTGGCAACTAAACAAACGGGTCGGAGAGGACGAATTCTTTTTTTATTTTTGACCAGCACCAGTCTGTTCATGTGTATCAGCAGATGTTACTCACAGCAACTCTGGCCTGGAAGTCAGCAGTAGGTACGACAGGGATGGGTCCTCCCTGCTTGCCAAACTTCCTCTCTAAGCTTTCCTGCACAGACACTAGAAAGGAAAAAAAGAGGAGAGAAGTAATTAAAGAGACATCAGAGCCCTCTTTTGTTTCTATATCGATAACAAATACCAGTGATGACACACCCTCGTAGTGCATCTAGTTTTTCAACTTGACATTCTTCAATATGACCATACATGGTGAAACTGTTGTGTCAATTCATGATTGGCTGTAAGTAAACTCAACAGAGTATAAATGAAAGGGGAAAGGGATTGTCCCAGAGAGATCCTGTCTCCTGCACAGAGACATCACATCAGCTGACACCAGTTTACGCTGAAGTTGCATAGCGACATCACCGACGCTGCCTGAGCCGCCACAGACTTGGTAAGTAGTCCTTCAAATTCTTGTTGAATGCATTTCTGTCTGTCTTTCTTTCACAGTAAAATATTATGATTATGAAAATATTATGTTGAATATTATGTTTTCCACACAGATTTGGAGTCGTCATCCAATGCAAAAAAGTAGCCAGCTGGGAAGTCCGGGGGCCTGACTCAAAACAACAAAGTAAGGTAAATAAGCTAGACAAGACTAGTAACTTAGCATGTATACTGCCTTAATGTAACTGTTAGCCTGTAACGCTAGCTAATAATTTGACATATTTATATCCAAACAATGATCAGGTATACAGCGATAACTTTTAATTGTTACATACCTGAAGTGGATTGGGCAACAAGAGATGACCTACAAGCTTACGGCGAGGATATTTAGAAAGACACAAGCATTGTCCACAGCAACTCTAGTGAAGTGTAACCAGACTTTTGAGGGCCATTAAGAGCAGAGAGTGTGAGAGAGGGTGCTAGCCCCGGCCCTTGCACACCTCAGAGAGAGAGAAAGTAGCTGGCTGGACATGAATGAGTAGTCTGCGCTTTAGCCAGCAGCTAGGGAAAGCACAGTTATGGGGATGTTACACTTTATAAAGTCTACATCTGATGTGAATCCTGATCTGAGGTTTATCTTCAGGATATTAATGTACCATGTATCAGCATCATGACAATTTACAAATAATAATGTTTTTTTGTTTTAATATAGATGGCTGCTCATGCATTTGAATACCCTGAAAACTGATACCCCTGGGAAAAGGAAAAAAGAAAAAGAAAGAATATTGAAAAGAGAGGAAAACACGCTCTATTATGATACTGGCAGAAACAACAGAAGATGCAACGTAATTTTCTTCAGTAATCATACAGAAGATTGGCAAAATCAACTTTTGAACATTGAAGATAACAGAAACCAAATCAGTACACTTAAATTCTGACATTGACTGCATATCTGTATATTCTTCTGGAAAGGTTGTGGTAACTGGCAAGGAGCAAATGTACATGGCTGAAAGGGATTTTGAAACAATGGAAGAAGAAAATTTTCAAGAGACACCTCAGCAGCCAGAAAAGGAAAAGACGTAGACGTAGACGTAAAAGAAGGCAAACTAAAACTAAAACTAAAACTAAAACTAAAACTAAAAATAAAACTAAAACTAAAAAATAAATAAAAAAAAAAAAAAAAAAATAATGGAGCAATGGGTAAGGATACGCCCTCCACTCCAGATAACCCCTCCACTCCAGATAACCCCAGCCCCCCTCCATCTCCACCCCAACCACCAACCCATAGTGAGAGTAATAACAGACAGGAGAAAACACACAAAAGTGATCCTAAATAACTGAATATGTCCCCCGCCCAAACTATTTTATTTAATTGGTAACTGGGTTGTAAAATCAATTGCTTTTTGTCTGTCTGCAGGTTATGGAGAAAGTAAAGGGCAGTCTAGTACTCACTGAGCAGGTGATAGTTTGAGTCTCTCTCATATTTGAAGGTCAGTCTTCCATAGCTGACATGGTTGAGATTCTTCAGCCACTCGAAATAAGACACTGTCACACCTCCAGCATTAAGGTACATATCCTGCAGGATAAAACATCCAGAAACTCAGACATCTGCCTGTTTGGAACACTTTTCACTCTTCTGTGTGTAGAATTATTCTGATTAACTTTCCTCTGTACTGCAAAACGTACCACTTTGTGAGATTTGATTTGGGAAGAAAATTAATTTTGGGTATAAAAAAAATAAAGAGATTGAAATAAACGATGAAAATGAAAAGCTTTTGTGAAATAATTATTTTGAGTCCACATATGAACAAGCAAAAACACAGGAACTGAGAATGAAAAACTGATATTTAAGAAGTATTTTCTTATTGTTTGAGTTTCAACTTCATGGTTTAAATATTATATTTACAAATATGTTTTCACTTTTTTTCTGTAATATTAAATATGCATGACCAAATAAATGACAATCAAACAAACTTAAAGCTAGGAGTATCACACTCAATGTAACACTCATAAGGAGATGGGTGTTGTTTGATTGACAGTACTATAAATATAAGCAAACATGTCCACAAAGTGACACATATTGATTCCAATGCTGCTAAATCCTGATTGATCCTCAGAAGTATGTGACATCATGTTTCCATTCACCTCAAACTAGGGAAAAGAAAATTGCAGAAATCTTTCATGTAAAATAACTAAACTGTTCTAAATTTGACAAATAATGTGCTGATGTAGGAATCCACAACTCTAGACACTTATATATCAAACTTTTGGTTCGTTTTGACACTCAAAATTATTATTATTATTTACTTGAACTGAACTGAAGAAAACAATCAGTACAAATTGTTTGTATTTCTCTCTCTCTCTCGTGTGTGTGTGTGTGTGTGTGTGTGTGTGTGTGTGTGTGTGTGTGTGTGTGTGTGTGTGTGTGTGTGTGTGTGTGTGTGCGCACTTACAGGAATAACCATGACATTGTTCTCCAGGAAGACCTTGTCAGCATCTGGTGTGGTGGGACCATTGGCACCCTCAGCAATGATCTAGAACAGACAAAATACAAACACACATGACTGCCCCGTCTTTTATCGTGTGAATTTAAATGTGAACTCAAAGCAGAGCATCGTGGGTAAATCAAGTCTTTACCTTGGCCTTGATCCTGGGGGCATTGACACGTGTGAGCTGCTTTTCTCCAGCAGCAGGGATCAGGATGTGGCAGTCGGCTTCCAAAATGTTCCCTTCGTAGGGTTTGGCTCCTGGGAAGCCCACGATGGTGCCGTGTTGCTGCAGAAGCACACAAACACACAAAGGGGATAAATATTACAATAAATGAATCAGTAAGATGAAAAAAATATATCAGGTGTATTTTGGCAAAGGAAAACACAGTGAAAAACCTGAGTAAAAAATAAATAAATAAGACAAAACGAATGAGACAGAAGTGTATTGAAGGCAGTTGTGCTGGTACCAGTTTGTAGTCCTCCAGCTGTTTGGGGTCGATACCCTCTGGGTTGTAGATGGCCCCATCAATCTCACCAATGCCCACGCACTTGGCCCCAAACCTGTGCAGGTACCTCATGGAGTGGAGACCCACATTACCAAAGCCCTGTGGAAAGTCACAGCAATCCAACATAATGATGACTTTCAAATAATGAAATAATATCAACAGTAAACATCATTTTATTGTTACGGACTCTGGTGCCACCATGTGGCCAGTTTGGGTCATAACATGATCATCATCAACTGTATCATGACTTGAAAGGAGACCTCACACTGCAATATTAATAATATATTCTGTGTAATGTGGGTTAGAAATGGAACAGGATAAAAAAAGATACTTCAATATACTTCATTACTAATGCCTGTCTCCTGTAAATGTAATATCCACGGACTTGATCTGAGATTAAAGGAACAGCTGGATAAATGGTGTAGGAAAATCTCTCAAATTTCTCCAATTTCTATTATCTCCTGGTATAAACAATATATTCATCATCAGACTAAGGGACCACAGTGATAGAAATAGCCAACTTCACCAGAAAACTAAACTAAAACATGCTTCTGTTTGGATCTTGAATTGATACTATACTGGAGATGAGATCTGCTCTCTCCTCACTCCCTAATAAAGCTCTAAGAAAATCTAATCTCAGCACAACATAATCCACACACACACGCACGCACGCACGCACGCACTAGCTTTTTCAACATCCACATCATGATTCAGCTGTTGACTGTTTTTTTTCCACCTCCTAAATGATGCCTTCGTTCAAATACCCCATCCACAAACGTCATCCCCAAGTGCAATTTTTTCTGTATTGTTGTGGGGAAAAAAAGTGCCTCTTTGCAAGTTTCTATATAAGCAACGATGTGTAAGGAAACACATAAGAGCAGATCCTCTTTTATGTGAAGTGAACGTTACACTGCCATCCTGACAGACATTTGTGTTGAGTGAAATGCAGCTGAACTTAAAGGGTCGTTATGAAGAATACCACATTACATGGAAAAGTGGTAATTATAGAAAGCTTTCTAGGAAAGCAGCTGAGGCCAGTGCCGAGGGGTTCCCTACCCATGTGTCAGTGTGTGTGTGTGTGTGTGTGTGTGTGTGTGTGTGTGTGTGTGTGTGTGTGTGTGGTACATGACACGTGAGGAGCTGCCCCATGTGACAATTGGAAGTGAAACTGCTAAGGACAATAAACTGCTCTTAGACTTAGTTTCTCACAGACGCACTTCTGCTTTCAAATCGGAATATAGTTTAAAGCAGAGGTATCCTTCTAGAGAGAATGGCCTTTCCATGATTTTACTGTTTAATGTATCACAGTACTCTTTGTTTGAGACTTACATGAATCATGTTCATCATCTTTTGCAAGATATTCCATTGATTATATTTAACGCTTGATGGTAAAACAAAAACAGCATAACTGTCTTTTTTAACTCCAACTAAGGACTTGCATGACTCCCACTTCAGTTCACTGCTGTCTGCTTGGTATGAGGAGATCAGGGCCAAGCTTAAACAGATGGCACTTCTTTGATTGAGGCATAGCTCTAAAACCCCTCATCATGAAATTGAAATGAAAACTTTAAATCCTGTATCTGTGAGCAAATATCTGAAATACATTTAGGGTCTCATCATTCCTCTCTTGTAAAAAAAACTTTCTACTATGATTAAACCATGTGTATGTGTGTGTACCTGGATGACGAAGGTCTTGTCCTGGAAGCCTGGTGTCAGGCCCAGCATGCTCATGTAAGACGCCTCGTTAATGAAGTTCTCGATGCCGTGGAAAACTCCACGACCTGTGGCTGAGATACGTCCATGGATTCCTCCCTGGCTGATGGGCTTTCCCGTCACACAAGCATGGGCGTTGATGTCCTGCACACACATGAAGAGAAGATCAAACCACCCAGGCTACGGACTGTAGAAGATTATGTACACAGCATTGACAAACGGGTTACCGAGAAGATTTTCAAAGCTTTAATGAAAGTTTACCACTCTAGGAAAGGATTGAGAGAGTAAGCAGCATCCTCCAAGGCTGAGTGTGATTGGCTCAATAAAGCAAACAAGAGCCCAAAACACACAGTTCTTAAAGCCTTAATGTCTTCATTGAACCTCGAGATTGTTACCAAAATACAAAGAAAATCAGATGCTTTTTGAATTGAATTCAACACAGTTTGAGATTTTTTTTAAACCCAGCAACTAGAGGCCTTTAGTAGTACTGCATCTTTCCTTTCTGCATTGGCTCCAGCTTTTGACCATGGTGTCAACTGCTTGACATACACAGAGTAAGAGGTTGTGTAGTGCCACAGTACCAGGCAGTTCAACAGCTGACTTCAGGTCAATACTCACTACCCATAATCCTCTGCCCTCTGATACCCAGAGCAAGAATGTGTCACCCACTCTAAAGCCCTGCCAGGGGTATCTGGAACAGAGCACACATGACTTCTGTAGGTATAGTTGAGAGGAGGGCTTCACATAATTATTCCAAATATTATTGAAACTGCAATATGGTCAAGTTCAAATATCCAGATCACAAAAGCTGTGATTTTTTTGATAAAGGTAAAATGTGTGACACAACAGCATTATAACAAAGTACTGTAGTGCTGCAGAGATTCCCTAGCCTACAAATCTTGTTCTCCAGATGTAAGAAGAAGATGTACAGTAAGTGTTGGTACAGACCCCAATGTCCCATCATCGTGATTGTATTAGTTTTGGAATGGAAATTATCATTCCTACTAATCATGAATCATATCGCAATAGCAATATCTTTGAAAACAGTCGAAATATAATTTTTATCATATTGTGCAGCCCTAGTAATGAGGAGATCTATTGACGCTTGGTAAATATTGATTCTACATAGATTTATGAATAGAATTACAGCATAACACTCACACAAATACCTGACTATACCTACAGAAAATGGATATGGTTAAAAAAAAAAAAGATAATAAATAATGAAACAAAATGCAGAATAATTTCAAAATATAACTGACATTTATGTAATGTTTTTAAATATCAGACAAAAACATAAGTCGATCGTGAGTCCAACCACAGTCGAAAACCCAAAGATTTTTAATTTATTGAAAGCAGCAACTCCTAGAAGCTAGAAGAAGTGAGTGTTTTTTTTGTTTGGATAACTGATTTCATCAATTATATTTTTTGCCAAATAACTCTATAACTACTTCTATTGTAGAATTACTCTTCTTAAAGCTGCAGTTTGCTTTTCCTAACTCCTTCTGAATTTACTTGACATCAAAACCGTTCAAATCAAGGTTAATATGAGTATTTGACTAATATAATTTCTGAGTGACTTCAGCTTACACCAATAACACCTGTGATATATACATAAACACATGCATAAACACACACGGGTAAATATTTTCCATCTTTAGTCAAATATGCCATGTTTGACAGGTTTTGATACCAGAATGCTTAACTGATAACACAAACACACACAGAGGGCTCAGTGTGTAAATCTCCTTTTAAAGAGAGGAGGAATGACTCAGTGGTCGGCTGGGAAGGGAGTGGCAGGAAACCACTGTGCATGGTTTACATGTGACTCATTCGTGTTTTTTATTTGGCCTATTTTTAAATTCGTACCAAAAACCAACTAACTCATACAGTTTGCTCGTGTATGTCTGAGGACTCACGGTGTGTGCGATGGTGTTGGCATACGTGTCAGCGATCCAGGACATTTCCCTCTCTCCTGTGCTCATATCTGGGGCCGGGACATCGATGCCAGGTCCTGGTTAAAGAAGAGGGGTAAGATAGGGAGGGAGGAAGAAGTGGGAGAC